GTGCTGACTTCACATCCATTTCTCCTTGAATTCCGAAGCAAAAAGTGGAAAAGCCTTTTCTAATAACCTCGATAAGTGCAGCGACCATATCCTATCAAAAATCACACTTAACGTCGTCCTGTTCCCATGCCACGTGAAAAGCAATTCACAGCATAGTTGCAATAAAACTTTTCGCTTCGGGAGTTCTTCAGACCTGATCCCCATATCTATTCATGCTTCTTTTGAGACTGCGGCTCGGTTATGGACTTAAGTACAGGGTAGCCGCTGGATGTAAAGCATCGGGCGATTGATGGGCGACGGCCGACCACTGCTCCGTTGATGTCTCTGGCCATTCCAGACTATCAAGACCTGTGTTATAAAAGAGGCCGTTAGCTGCCAAGGCTGGCTTCCGAGCCTGCTCGTTCTTGTAAGGTTAAATAGAATTGTCACTTTACTGACTTTCGTGGCAGGGAAGGGGCACAGCAATGCAGGAAAGTGCTCTTAATTATTTGAACATAAGCTCATAGACACATTGTCATTAACATCATGTCCATCTTATACCGAACAGTGTCACGCAGCTACCTAATGCTGTTATGACGTCAACTCATTCATATGATAAGCCAGCCTGCAAGTGTTTGATTACTTTTGCATCTGATCACAACACGATTGGAAAAAAGGACAATTTACTGCAATGTGTGAAAGCTTTTAAGAGTACAAGGTGGCCGAGATTAAGGTAACACTCGTGTTTTCCTCAGCGATGGCGAGTGTATTTGTCGCACGATCGCGACTGTGGGGATTCTGTTCGACTGCCCATCGGTGATTCCGGACCCACCAAATTGTGACGATGAAAGGTGCTTCAGATGGCCCTTGGCGGTCCAGGGGGCGCAACAGCTGTACCTACTGCAGGCAGTAGACTGTCGACTGTCCGGTTTATAGTGATAGTCAAACCTGACAATTTTGGGAAGGGGATATCCCTGGTTTTGAACATTTCATCATCTTCCTTCGAGCGTGCCAGCATTTTAGTGACCCCCTGAACGAAGAAATTCAGGTTTTTGTGTGTCTATTGTGTGTTCACCCGAAGTAAGGGTTTGCCTTCACCAATGTTTGTTAGAACTAAGGGTTTGCCTTCACCAATGAGCATCAGAGTAGCGTTCGATGGCGTTTTGAGCGACAAGGAATGGTCAATGACCAATGGCCAATGGCCAATGGTCGAGCTACGAGAACGTTGGGACTGCAGTGAAAGCCGTGAACGAGGCCGAACATGTATTCGTAGCATTTTGCCCCTGCAAGTGTTTTGAATTCGGATGTAACTCTAGAAAACACAGCTGACTTTGTTGCAGAAGAGTCCGAATTATTTGCCTGCATGCCGCTTCCTTATTTCAATAAGCGTTTTATCAGGCCCGTGGAAGCACGGCGAAAATCACTGTGAAATAGGAGATCTTATTCTATGACCTACAAACAAATGTCAGACACCGTTCAAATAAATGAAGAGCATTCTACGAGAACAAGGGACATCTTAAAACAGCTGCAAATGTTTTCTCGTGTGATTCCAAATTAATGGTGATAAGCTTTGGATGCATGACATTCGAAATATCAACTCTGTTAGTAGATAGTTACACCCCTCTGTTGGTTAACGCCACCGTAAAAAGTCTCGCCGTGATCACATTCATGCAAATCGTGACAAGTTGGCCACGCAATCCAAAGCCGTGAAAGAAGAATCACACGTCGTACTAGTGCATCAGTAACAGTTTAGGAAATACGCTCGTAGAACAAATGTCCGCCAAGCCCTTCAACGCCCTGTCCAGCGTAACTTCTACCTGCTACGTGTTTCAGGTCAGAGTTGTGGACACAGTAGAGTTTGCGCTGGACAGAGCCCTCAAGGCTGCCATCGCCACTCGCTCATCGCGGTGCCGGCTCTTCACGCGGCGTCGAGGCGGAGACAGCGTGCGGCTGGACGGGCCGTCCTTCTGGGAGCCTCAGCAGCGGTTAGTGCGCAAGCCGTCGGCTGTCTGGAGAAGTGGAAGCCCATGGTGGAGGAACGGTGCGCCGCGCTTCTCCACGACTTGGCGTCTTCGTCCACATCCAGAAGACCGTGCCGTCTCATCGCGGGTGGACATGGAGCTGGTCGAACCACTGCACGGTGGAAGATAGGCTGTGCGCCCAGACCAGGCTGAAGACGTCACACACTCGCTGCCTGAGACGGTTAAAGTGAGGGACGTGAGGTGAACTCTGGTGCAACCACAACCCGCAGCGCCCCTGGAAGAGAGGCCAGCACTCGAACAGCAGAAACTCGGCTAAGCTCGGCGGACATTCGTCCGTGCCGAGTCGGCCCAGGCATTTTGCCATCGCCGAACAAGGCCTCGTGCAGCTTTTAGGCAGTGGCCGTGTGTTGGAGCTGTTTGGCGAGTCAGTTGGGACATGCGGCAAATGGCAAGCAATGCGTACCGTTGTAGATGGAGACAGCTCACTGGGTGCGCGTCGCTCACGATGCGTGCGATCATGACGTCCCGCTCGTTACACGTCGGCCGACAGGTTGCTGATACCCTCAGCAACAATATTCACGACTGTCAGCATGATTGTGAGTTGGGTGTATTGGTTCGCTTCGCATATGACAGCACAGGAAATCAATGGACAACCAGACGAGACCATAAGCCGGTTCACGAAAACACACTTTGGCATTCAGTTCCTATTGAGCTAGTTCGCATGTATCATTAAGTGGTAAGCTCCGGGAGAAACGCATCGACACCACTGAACACTGTAACGCCCACCTTACCAGCCATCGCGTTCAAGGAGCACACCTTTTGTGTCATGCGTCGGGGTGCAGAAAGAATTACACAGTAACACTGAATCTCTTGAGGGCGCCGTGAGTCGAGGACACAAGGCAATGCAGTCCTCCGTGTACGAGAGGCGCCTTTCGAAATGGCGAAAACCAAAGATTTAAATGTGTCAAATTATCCATCGCGTTTAGCACAGCACCGCACTCCCTTCTGTCGTACTATCTCAGTTTCTATTTTTGGCAAGGGCCACTTGCTGACCGAGTGGTTTCCCACAATCGGCGAGTCCGCCGCGTCCATCAGCGACAGTGGTGCGTTTAGCGGGTCGGCTGAGTTGCAGTGGCGAGGGACCGACTGCACCCGTCTTCCATCCCACTCAGAGCTACACCAACACCAGGGACCTCGCCAGACTGCCACGGATGCGGAAACATCGGGCAATCGAGCACAAACTGACACTAGGGCGACTCAAGACTGGGCGCGGCGAGCGGAGCGATCTTCAACAGCGATAAGCAGTTGATCGACACCTTGCGGGCTTATTGTCAGTCTGCCGTCCGCGCCGCTGCCGTCCGTAGCTCGCGTGCTGCACCCACGATTGCCTGCGGCCGCCATCTAGTCGCGTCTTGTGTCTGAGCGCTGGGAAAATACCGCGGCGGATGCCCTCCGGCGGCGGGGAAGACCGAGTGGTAAACAACCTGTTATGTACCCGACTACTGGCTGATTAACCCCACCGGCGACGAGGCAGACGGCTCCCGGTGGAGGTCGATAGAGATAGGGGGGGGGGGGGGGGGGGGGGGGGGGGGGTCGGCGCCGCCTGTCTCTCACGTGACGCCACACTGACCTGTGCCGAGGCAGACTGGAGCCGAGACAACTGGCCGCTGATGATGCTAACGACATTGTTCAGCGCACTGGATTGTTCTTATCGCCGGGTCGGCAAGGACAAGCATGTTGTAACTTGAGCCAGACGTAAGTAAGAACATTTGAAACAAAGCACGGAACGTTTAAATCAGCTAAAGCGTACGGTTACAGTGCAGAAGCATGCATTCTGCTCGAGCCTCAAGAAGAGCAGAGCAAACGGGTTGTACAGATAGATAAAAGTCCATTTCATGCCTGCATGATCACCTAGGGATATAAATTGGTAACATTTCTGGAATGCACGAAACTAGGATAGGCAGGAGCGAAACCCATTGTACGCCATCAGGTCTCTGGAAATAGCCGAAATATTTTGCTACGGAAGCGTGCTTGTTGCGCCATCATGTGCCTATTTGTCATTTTATGCTCACAAACCGAGCTTCGTCATATCAAAATTGGCAAATCCTTGAAGTACCACAGGCGCGAAACGGCAGTTACGTACATGGTAACCGAAAAAAAACGCCTCGGGGTCGAAACTTGCCGGAAACGTCGCTAGAAATGACGACATTCCGTGAGTTTCACCCCCCGCTTATCCCAATTCTCGTACCTTTCATATTGTGTACCAAATTGAGTCCCTGACTAGCTTTGATCGCATGGGATGGGAAAAACAGGTCCTGAGTCGTGCGGTAGAAACCGAGACTAGCGCTTCTGAGAGCCACCGTGTGAAGTGTAATCATACCGCTTTTTGCACCAGAAGTTGGTAACAACCAGTCACAGGTTACTCGGTACTTCCTAAGGAAATGTCATCTACCGCAGGCATTCCGACAGTAGATATATGCTAAGAAGAGCAATGCGTGCCATTATTTAATGATTGCTCCGGAGGTAGACCGTTTGGTAATGCAGTGCACGTAACGGCTACCTTCGATATTCAAACTTCATTCCAGCCATATTTAACACAAAGGGTCTTTTACTTGCCTTGGAAATGGTACGAAACGCACTGTACGTCCGCCAGCCGATGATGCCCCACCTTCCAGCCTGTCCCAGGGAGGAAGAGTCTGCCAGCTGGAGACGGGCTGGCTTGGCCGCGCGCGGCGGTGCCGAGCTGCAGCACGCTTGACCGCCAGGAGCGGTGCTGGAGGTAGCACCCGCGCCGGCGGTGTCGAGCTGCAGCACACGTGACCGCCAGGAGCGGTGCTGGAGGTAGCACCCGCGCCGGCGGTGTCGAGCTGCAGCACACGTGACTGCCAGGAGCGCTGCTGGAGGCGGTGGCCGCGCCGGCGGTGCCGAGCTGCAGCACACGTGACTGCCAGGAGCGGTGCTGGAGGTAGCAGCCGCGCCGGCGGTGCCGAGCTGCAGCACGTGTGACTGCCGTTGCCGAGCTGCAGCAGCACTGCCAGGAGCGGTGCTGGAGGTAGCAGCCGCGCCGGCGGTGCACGCGTGATCGCCAGGGGCAGCGGTCGCCACGCTCCGAGCCGGGTGGTGCCGGACTGAGCGTGCGTCGGCCCACACCGCTCCTGGCATCGAGCCTGCGCCACCGGCCGGCCCCGAGCTGACGCTGGAGTTGATCGGCGTTCCTGAACTCATCGGCCGGACCGTGCGGCGCACTCGATCGGACTCGCGGAGCGCCTACGCCCATCTAGTCCAGCATTTGCTACAACGCATTGGGAACACCAATGGGTTTCGTTTGGCACTCATGATGTCGTTGACACAGTGTCGGGTCCTTGAGCCCAGTTGAGCCAGAATAAGTCAGGGCGCGGGGGTGCGCCAGGCGACATTCTTCGCCAGCAGCCAGCAGGACATGTGGAACATTCACCCTACGATCGTAACTATCACATCTCACACGGGCTGCGGCCGGCGGCGCGACTCTGCGCGTCACTCCTCCGGCCCCATGGTGTTGAGGTCGGCACGCGCCACTTTCGACTTGAGTCGGTCGATGGGGGTCGTGTTGTCGTAGAGCGACGGCGCCTGCAGCAGGATGGCGCACGTGCCTATCACGCAAGCCAGAGAGAAGATCCAGAGGAAAAGCCGGTCCAGCACCATGGCCACGTATTGCCAGTCGGCCTCGATCTGAAGCAGAGAGCCCCCAGTCAGTGACCGTGTCAGAGGCACGGGGGTCAGAGTCCAGCACAGCCGGCTGCCATGAACCCAGAATGGAGTACTTCTTTTCTCCTGTTCGATGTCCCGTCCTCACAAATGTTTCCTTCCTCAAATATTGAAGCATCACGGTAAGTGCAGTAATATCCGTGGGACCTACGAACGCAGCGGCTGCTAACGTAAGCGATGCAAGATGAGCCTAAATCCAACCGTAAATCCAACCAACCGCAACACCGTGCATCCGTCCCGTTCACTTTTGAGGCCCGATAATGTGTGGTCGGTCTGGCACACGGGCCGCCAGGGGCCCTTTCTGGATCCTCGTCATGTGTCGGGCAACAGCGGGTAAATGAAGAGAGACGTCGACTGGAAGCTTGCGTCACCTTTAAAGGAGCACCTAAGGCGATTTATATTAAAACTAAGTTAAAGTCATGCTAGATCATGTCCCAATAACGTCGCGACTTTTTTGGTAATGCCGTTTTCTTTCAATAATTCAACTTCAATATACTTTACCCTGCATGGCTCAATTCCTGATATCCGTGGTTCAAGGCGCGAAGCATTTGACCCGGGCGCCACGTTCGACTCACATCTTCGTAGGTGTCCTTGTTCTTCATGTGCTGCGCGATGGTGCGCACGCCCATGATGGCGTTCTGGACGCGATAGTCGAGCCGGCTGCCGCCAGGCGGCGTGGCCGGCGGCGCGTGGTGCGCGCAGAAGCCGCCCTCCAGCGGCGAGGCGAACGGCAGCGCCAGCCGGTCGCCGACGCTGGCGTCGCCGTAGCGCTCCAGGTCGTAGCGGCTGGGCGGCGCCGGCAGCTCCAGCTCAGGGAAGGTGGACTCGTCGCCGTCCGGCTCCGGCTCGTCGTCGCCCTTGTCGGGCCGCACGACCAGCAGCAGCGGCGGCAGGTAGTGGATGAAGAGCCGCCGCATCCAGCCCGACATCTTGTGCGTGCTCGGCGAGCGGAAGTTGACGTTGAGCACGCAGATGGTGGACATGACGGACAGCGTCACCAGGATCATGGTGAACAGTAGGTACTTGCCGAGTAGCGGCACCGTCAGCGACGTCGGTGGGATGATCTCGGCCAGCAGCAGCACGAACACCGTCAGCGACAGCAGGATCGAAATACACAGCGACACCTTCTCGCCCGACTCGGACGGCAGGTAGAACACGAGCACCGACAGGAAGCTGATGCCCACGCAGGGGATGATGAGGTTGACGGTGTAGAAGAGCGTCTTCCTGCGCAGCGTGATGTTGAAGTAGATGTCGGGGTAGGGTTCTTCGCAGCAGCTGTAGTAGCGTTCGCGTCGCTGCGCGGGCACCGACATGACGTCCCACTCGACGCTGATGTAGTAGTCGTTCAGGTCGATCCCGTAGTCCACGTAGTTGGAGTCGGGCGTCTGTTGCAGGTGCTGCAGATCCAGCTGAAACGGAATAGCGTGTCCGTCATCCCTGCGAAGACGCGTGAGGCAGACCCGCTAAATACGGACGGTGGAGGGGAGGGGAGGCGAGGCGAGGGGAGGGGTGGCTGCTCCCTGTATTTGACAAAATGTCCAGTTAAGCATGTGCGTCCAGGAAGTGCTCATGGGTAGCATTGCCAGTGATGTACGGTAGGTCAATGATGCAGGTCCAGGCCCTGGAGCGCTGTGGGGGAGATGTGTGGTAAAAGATACGGTTGTCAAGCCCCAAACGCCCCAGAGGAAACCCGCTTTACTGCTCCCGCAGTCATAAATGGCATCCTTTGTGTACTCGTTTAAACAGGGCCAATCGCAACTACGTCTCCTAAGTCGCGCTCAATTATTACCATGGCTTGAGATATTGGCTGCCGTCGCTGAATCAATCTACGCCGGCGAATACTTAATAGGCCATGCAACCAACTACGCCACATGAGACCGGTTTATCCAGAGTTTGAGAGGAACATTAGAGGCTTTCTTAGCAGTGAATTCCGCCGAGACGCATGCCAAAAGCCCACTTCAAGTTTCAGAATCACGTCCACGTAGCCATAAGCGCAACTTTCGGAGGCTTCGATGGGCTTCTTGCAGACTGGGACAGTGCATGCGTGTCTCGCTCTGCACGACAAAGCCTGAAGCCGCTGAACTATACGTGAGCATCATGTCGACATGGACAGATTAATGGTTTGATGACCTTTCTGAGTTTATGCATACAGCCGGGCTCCTGTCAAGGGCAACATATTCTTTGTTCGCCCCTAAATCCATCCCCCACCTGGTACACGTTGAAAACCTCTTCCACTTGGCGATTATCGCAGAGCCCAGCCTTGACTCAGCGGGAAAAGACTACCCTTAAAGAGGAGATAGCTAGCTAAGTCGCGCCGACGCCACCTGGTGTCCAGCCCAGCTGCGGCGGCGGCTCCCGAGCCGTCGGCCGGAGGCACCTCCAGCCCAGCTGCGGCGGCGGCTCCCGAGCCGCTGACTGACGGCCGAGTGGGACGCCTCCGGCCCAGCTGCGGCGGGGGCTCCCGAGCCGTCGACCGGAGCCGCCTCCGGCCCAGCTGCGGCGGCGGCTCCCGAGTCGTCGGCCGGAATCGTCTCTGCGGGCCCGTCAAGTGCCGCCGGCGCCTGGGCGGCGCGGGCCCGTCGACAGCTGGGAGGCCGGGGGTGCAGCCCCGTCTGATTTGTGGGGCGGACCGGCGCGGGCCGGATCGATGGCAGCGCGGTGACGGCTCTCGTGCCGCAGAGGAGGTCACAGGGGTCTACAGACCGACTGCCAACTGTACGAACCGTCTGGATCGGAAGACACGGCAGGAGTCCGCCGTGCGGAAGTTACCCAGGTCTCCAGGATAATTGATGTCTTGTCCGTAGCACGGGTGTGGCAAGAAGCGGCCCCCAACGAGACAAATAAAATTCGCTGAGCATTGACACACGCTGCGCAAATCGAACGGCTTCGTTACAATAAAATGAAGCTGATTGATGGCATGTTTTCCTAAAAGCATTTCAGCCGACAGCAGAATAGATACATGGGCGGAAAAGCTGGAGTAAATCATGCCGAATGAGACGGTCTACTTCCAAAGCTTTCAGCCCACACACCAAATTGCGTTTGTATAAAATGCCATCGGGCTCCTAGAGAAGCTTGGAAAGAAGCTTTAGGGCTCCTTCGTGAATCGCCAGTCGACTTCTAATCAACAGCAATAGTGCGACTAAGCAATTTAACTCATCTTCGGCCATTCGTGCGCATGTGTGCGCTGACAAGTAAAGCCCCGCTTGCCGTTCACTGGGCACTCTAACACACCATGTAGCCATCGTACGTCCAACTTCCGAACTTCATGAAGCACGTCTGCTCATCGAAGGGGAAGTACTCGACGTCGATCTCGCAGTAGGACTTGTAGATTGCAGGTGGCTTCCAAACCACACGGCCGGTGAAGTTCAGGATGGCCTTGGTCATGATGGTCACCTCGTAGTTCCCGTCCGCGCTGTGAAAGCATGGCAGACGTCAGCTGATGTCCCATTCACGTATCACTGGCCGCATTTCGGCTGCCAGTGATGTGGACCATGGGTAAGATGGAGTAGCACACAATAGAGCAGTGCTCACTCGGCATTCCGTACAGGTCGTGGCCTTCCCACTCTGTGAATAAATAATACAAGTTGTTTCTGTTCTTAGAAATGGAGTGAAATAAATAAATCCGTATAAAATAAAATAATCCGTAAAATCCGTAAAAATAAACAAATCCGTCCCGGTGGCTCAGTTGGTTAGAGCGCCTGCATTCCGACCCACCGATCCGTGGCGGGATGGGTTCGAGTCGCTTTAGGGCGCTCGCTATTTGCCCTTGGCAGGTATGGCCCGCGGCCGGTGGCAGCGGTCGCGCTAAAGGTCAGTTGACGTCAGAGGGCAGGACGGACCGTGCCGAGCATTGCGGCACGTAAAGCTTTCGCCACTAAATTCTGCCGTTGCCTGGAACTGCGCGATCTGATGGTGGGGGGTCAGGGCTCACACAACAAGCACTGCTTAGCGTGAGCGCTGATCCCAGAAACCCATCCATTCAAAGGATTCGGACCAAATTTATAAAAAATAAAAAAAAATAAAAAGAAGAAAAGAAATGGAACGTTTGTTGTCTAAAATGACATCATCTTTGTATTAATACGACAAATATAAATGTTGATTATCAATGCGCAGAATGCTAGTTGCATAGAATGGCTTGGCGTATTTCAGTTGTCAAATCCATTGCCATTGTCTGTGCATTACGATGAGGGGCACATGTAATGCGCAAATAATTTCCACTGTAAGTAATTTCCACTGTATGCTGTATGTGTCTTGCCGGGTTCTTTTGTTTGACAAGTTAACATATACATCCGAATCTTGACACTTTTCGTTTGTATCTTGATCAGCTGATTAAAGGCCTCCTGCATTTCAGAGATGTAATGAAACACATTCAAGATTGATCATTAAGAGCTGTACAAACAAATAGCACGGCGTGCCTTTCGTAGCGTCGCAAACAAGCAGGTGAGCGACCAAACAGCTGCAGTAGCATAAGATGTTAAGGAGAGGGCGACAGACAGGGTAGTGTTCGCGCTACATCGCTGGTCCCCACTCGCATCACGGTCGAGGCATGTCCGAGTGCGATTCGGTTGCCGTCTTGACTCGACATTTTGACTCGCACGAACCTTCAGAACAGCCTAAGTTAGAGAACTCCCGGGTTTTTCCGCATCAGCATGCCTCACTTTCTCTCTTGTAACACTACGAAGGGAAGGTCACTCTATTTACACTGGATCTGAACGTAAATATTGAAGAATGTGTACATCTAGCTTAGACACCTTTTGCACTGATTGTGGTCGACCACAGCATGCAGGCTTGTTCAGCTGTCTATCACACGCTTCAAAACGACTTAACGCATTAGAACAAATGCAGTTTTAACACTGTTCTTGATAAGCAGAACTCGTTGGCTTTACTGAATGCTGAAAACCACGACAAGAAGACCGTAAAACGCAGATGAATTCTGTGGTTTTGGATTTCTAATTGAGATACTGTTGTGCAGCTTTTGGGTACTTTTCCTGAAGCTTTGTAAGAAAAGGACAGCTGAGACATTCATATTAGTATATTTTGGTCTGATTATCACTGAGCACTATTCACGGGAGAACATGAAACATGCATTGCTTGCTGTTGCTGATAACTGCCATCTTTTATTGGGCCGCGCGAGCATAAAATAAGCGTCAAAAAACTACGACCGCTAGAAGTAACGATCTCGCACACTAACTTGTTGTAGAGCACTATGTCCGGCAACCAGATGTGCTCCGAAGGCACGTGCAATGTCTGCACCCCACCATACTCGGACGGATCCCACGCCAGCTTGTAGTCGTTCCATTCCTGTCGAATATAGACCCAGCGCGATCATGGGCTTGTGGGCAATGCGAGTTGACGAACGAGATCTTGACACGGTAAAGTAAAATAGAAAGCTGAGTCCTGTGCTGACTGTTCGGAACGCAGAAACAGCCAGGGAATACGAAACTTCTCCACGCACACTCGTCAGAGAACTTCTCCACGCATACTCGTCAGAGAACTTCTCCACGCACACTCGTCAGAGAACTTCTCCACGCACACTCGCCAGAGAACTTCTCCACGCACACTTGTCATCCGCTGACGCCAACCTGTAACAACGCCATGGCGTAGACTGGGAACAACATGGCGAAGACCGAGAACAAAATGACGTTGCGTGCCATGGCATAATAGCCCGTTGCCCCTAGTTATAAGCTTTTATTACACATTCATACGACATACATTTAAGGGATGAGACTGAACGCTCAACAGTAGAATTTGCATAATCCCGGCGTTAACCAGCCCATGTCACCAAGTAGAATATCAGGGAAATGCTGCTTGAACACTTCCGTATGGTTCAGCAGTGTCGGCGCATTGTTAATTTTGTCCGGAGAACGGGACACGCTGAAGAAGACGAAGGCACAGTCACACGCTGCAGACCTATCACGAAACACTCACGCTCACACGCATGACGTTAAAACGCTAAGCGCACCTACCCACGCCTTAAACACGTATCACGGCCAGACGAAACGGTGGAGCGGCATGGCAAAATCATAAACGCATTAACGCCCTGCGTGGTCCAGCAATGTCACACTCGGTCCTGTTCTTCACATCGACGGGCATCCTCCATCCCCATACGATATACAAAATAAGGTCTGACCTATGTCCTCAGATGAGCAGACAGTCAAACCCACATATGCAATCTGGCGCAAGTGAAAACGGACCGCAGGCGCTTAGGCCGGCTTCGCAAGCCGCGGGGAGGCATCCTATTAGGTGGGTCGGAGCAAACGGAACCAGGAGGATGAAGCAAAATCAGAAGTAATGTCATAACGAGGAAGAGATTGGCGTGAAAATGTGTATACCAGTTTGACCAAATTTAAAGGAAACCAAAAACACATCCACTTTTTAACAACAGACCAAAACGAATAAAGCTTAATAGTGATGAGAGATGCTGAGCCGAACTTTAGCCGGTGGCATTATCAAACAAGCCGCATTTTCTGCACCGCTGCTGCACTTTACGTCCAAAATACACCCCGGTGGCAGCTGGCTGCTCCAATAACGATCAGCCGCGCAGTGCCATCAGCCAGCCTAGCAGAGCTTGCCAGCGATTGCTTACCTGTTCCACCCACACATTTGTCGTCATGATTTGACTCTTCATGTTCTGAAAAGGGCAAACGTATATAAGAAAAGGCTAAGCTCGACCGCTGCGCGGCACGACTGCAACGTGATGCCGATCCAAGAGAAGGAGAGGAAATACGGAGCCGCAGTCGGCCTGCTGAGGAAGTCCACACACTATTTTGAACACTCGACCGACCTGAAAGAATTTGACGACTCTCCGAATTTGAGTGCTCGTGATATCAAATGCAACGGCCACAGGTGGTCAGGACGAGCGGGCCCAGCGCACGCCACATCGCCCCGGGCGAGCGAACCCAGCGTACACCACGTCGCCCCGGACGAGCGGACCCAGCGCACGCCACATCGCCACGGGTGAGGGGACCCAGCGTACACCACATCGCTCCGGGCGAGCGGACCCAGCGCACGCCACGCGGACCCAACGCACGCCACATCGCCCCGGGTGAGCGGACCCAGCGTACACCACATCGCTCCGGGCGAGCGGACCCAGCGCATACCACATAGTCACAAGCGACCTGAGTCAACCCAGTCGCGATCCCGTAGGTCACGACGTGTGTGTGGCGACATGGCGTGCCGAAGATGGTCAAATGAGAATTACGACACGTGACGGCACAGAAAGCCTGCCTGACGAAGAGACCAAGCGGCAGGTGGTCTAGTCAGCAGCAGAGATTTCCACTCAGACCCCAGCTTATGTCTACAATCTGTTATCATCGGTCACCGGTAGGGGTGACAAGATTCGTCGCGACAGGTCATCGATTCTACACAATCTGCAGATCTTCTTAATTTCGTTCAGGTCGTGATCGGCCCGTCGTCCTCCTCCCTCCGTCCAATCCCTCCTCCCTCCGTCCAGCCCTCCCTCCGTCCAATCGGCCACCGGCCGCCCGTGCCACGAGTTATCGGTGTGCCGGCGCGAGCCAGAGAGCGAGGCTTTCATTGGACGGCCGGCGAAGGCGCCCCTGGCGGCGTCGGGTCACACGCCTTCCACGGAGATCGGGCCGGGACGTTACACACTGGTCGACGGCGACGCCCAGGCCGGCTGACGTCCGCTTGCAAATTGGCATGCAGGCGTTGGCTTTCTCGTTGGTCATGATCAACGCATCGCTCTTGCTTTGTGACGTTCAGACAGATGAAATAATTGAAGTCATCGAACGTGACATCTAGTTGTCTGACCTTCGGCAGTGTCAAGTATCAATTCGATTTGGATGATAACGCAAGGATTTCAGTGGCATTTGATTACAGGAAGCTCTTACAGAGACGTGGGCGTCCTACGAACTCAAATTTGTCTTACATTGAGCGTAATTTTGTTTGGCGATGTATCTCCAGCGTGCGGGCGCGAGTGGATTTCATAGATGGTCCAGAAGAAGGAGATATATTTTGGCCAGGACATTGCCATTTGTTCGCTACGAGGCTAACTGTCATCACCTTGATGGAACAGTCCAGCGCATAGCTTTGATTTGTTTTGCATACATGTGGAGACAGAAGATACACACTGCGCCAATCGGCGCGGCTGGAACGCAGCTGCTCTGTCCGGCACCCGGCGCTGCTGTAGCCACACTCCGGCAACTGGGCGCCGCGGAACAAAGGGTCCAGTCTCCCAGTCAGAGGCTAGGGGAGGGGCAGGGGTGGGGGTGGTTGTCAGGTCTGGTGCCGCGGTCCGGCCGGCCGTGCGAAGCGTGTCCGAGGGTCGCTGTCCGTGTCACGGCATCCCGCCGGCAGTCGATGATGGG